CAGCGTCTAGAGGTTGATCTTCTTGAAGTGGACGTACTTCCATAGACTGATCAACATGTTCAGTCGAAATTACAGCATCCATAGACGAGGATACTAACCGTGGTGACATAACTGACGTCATTGGGGAGAAGTAGACCGACCCATAAGAACGTAGAGATTCATTAGAATCAAATACGGCACAATGGTGCTGTATGTTATCCGCTCTAGATGGTAGAGAACGAACACGCCTTTCAGAGGAAGCCATAACAGATGGCTTCTTGATATCAGCGTTGCAAAGATCGGGCATAGACGTTGATCTAGTGCGCATAGGGGCTCGGAAAGATATCCCGGTAGAGTGTACGGGACGACTTAGAGCAGAACTAGAAGAAATCAGTAGTGGTCTCGAAGTAGATGTACTTCTTGGTGGTTCAGTCGCGTCGTTAGACGGAGGTGTAGAGGGAGTTAAACCTGTTGAATCATGAGGAAATGCACAGCGATCACGGTTAGACAATTTCATTCCAGATCTAAGTAACATCCCGTGTAGCTTGTAACACGATCAGGTGAGGCAATAGAGATTACGATGCGATACTAGTGAGGACTGGTTAACTCAAGTAGAACTAGAGTTAGGATGAGGTAGCAGATCGCACAATCAGTCACTGGACTCAGTCCAGTCTAACAATTACCAACTAGAATACTAGCTTTCTTAAAGTAGCTTACAGAAAACTAGAGACGGGTCTAACCGTTTCTAGTATCCAAAACCGTTAGATAGATGCATCCGAGCGAGAATAATAATATTATAGTTCAACAATAGAATACGAGGCGAGCGAGATCTTTGTCGCGCTGCCACGATGGGACAGCACAAAGTGAGAAATGGGCGAGCGAGATTGTTCCCTTGGAAATGGAGATCTTCCTTAGATTTTATGTTACCCTACACGAAGCTTGTGGAGTGTAGAGTGGTGCAAAAACAGGACCGTGACGCGCTCGCCCGCGAAGCTAGTTACTCTGAACCTGTGTATTTCGTGCGACGTTGTTGCTGCTTGTCCTAAGTGTTAGTGTGAGGATTATTGATACCTTACTTTATCATTTATCAGTTGTTGGTGAGCGTGCTGGCTCCTTTTGATCCCATGACGTCCATCCCGGCCTGCCTGGTGGAGGCGGCAGTTCCATCGTACCTCTCCCGGAACAAGCCAGGGTGGATGTAGCTTCCTGAAAGACTGTATGCTCCGAGCTCTTTGGCGAGGACAACGGCAACACCCCGATAAGCCACTTCGGTTTCCTCTCCTCGTGACGTTGCGGTCTTCTCAAGGCCTCCGATCGAGAGCTGTAGCTAAGGCACGTGTGGGACCCTGTTGGATCAGTGCAGCGATCATTGCGGCCTAGCTCCCGTCATGAAGACCTCATCCACTTCCTCTCCGAGCTCGAATGCAAACTCTGAGGGCGCAGCTGCGGCAGCCAAACGATTGCGTCCCTCCAGATTCCTGGACGAGGCCGATGAGGGATTCTTCGATCTACTTTCCAGTAACCTATTCCGAGAGAGTCTCGGAGCTCATCAAGGTCTATGGCGATATCAACTTAGACGGGCTCCCTACGCGAGAACAGCTTTCGGCCTTGAGGCCGCGTTTGTTAAAATAAAAACGACGTTCTGAACTGCGATTTTAAGGTATGGCAGACTAACCAGAGGTGCCGTTTACGCTAAGTCCGTCAATCTGCCTGGGTCATGAACGCTGAGGGAGAGTTCGAAAGATATCACAGCCTGGGTTGCCATCGTATGACATATGGCGAGACTCTTTCGTGTTTCTCTAAGTTTGGCATGCTGATTCTGAAAGAGAGATCTCTGGCCGATTATGTGGTATACTCTTATACAATATAGTGTCTCTGCGATA